CTGGGGAAGATGAAAAAGTTCTAGAGATGAATGGTGGTGATGATTGCACAATGTGAATGCACTTAATGCCACTGAACTGTACACTTAATGATTAACATGGTAAATTTTATGTTATATATATTTTACCACAATAAAAAAAATGAGGATAACAATAACTACAATGCAAAACATTAAATTATTCAACAGGTATAAAATGCCTTACACAAAACTTGGTATATAAAACATGCTCAAACAATAGTGATTGTAACATATTTTACCAGCCATAGAGCCTTTCTTGGCCAAATTCCGTTTTTTAAGAAAGCAAGAACTTGCATTATCATGTGCTCGGTGTTCCTAACATTGTGCTGCACGCAGAGGCTCTAAGAATTTGTTTCATTAATGAAAGAAGTTTAAAGCCATGTTAGAATCACTGGAAAACCACTGTTAAGATGGGAGCAGAACATTCATCTAGACGTATAATTTCTGATTCATCTAAAACACATATACACAACATACATCAACCACATTACTTTAAAATAACATCTCCATGGTACATGAGAGTCTAGAAAACAAAAGTTCCTGAGATGTTGATCAGTGAAAGAATGTCAAACTATTCAGATAAGTAGTGAGAATTACACAAATTAAACTGCTTTATTAACCTAGGCTTATCAAATTAAATTATGGGCATATTTTACTAATTACCCTCTACAAAAAGCATACATAAAATAAAGAGCTCATGTAATAAATTAACTCTCAGAAGTGAAGAGCCACGAGTAAAAAAAAAACACAAGAGCAAAAACAACATACCTATATATCTCTAAATTGGGAAAATTTATCAACAAAATTACTGATGAGAAATTAGTCTAAATTTAAAATGTCTTCATAAACGTAAGAGAAAATTGATCTAGGAAGCCAGAATAAACCTTGACATGGGTTTGCGCTCACCCCTCCGAATGATGGAAAAGAATAGAAATTTTATCACAGAATCACTGTGGGTCTGAAATACCAGGGCAAACAAGGGCAGGATCAAAAGCCTGGATAATAAATTCCAGACCAAACTGATTGCTTGCAAAATTCAAAACTGGATTAAACAGAATGTTGTGAAGTTAGGAGAGGAAAAAGTGAAAGCCAGAAGTGAAAGCCAGAAAAACACGAAAGCCAGAAGACTCACCATGAACAAGTCAAACCAAATTAACTGCAATTTCTATTTTAACAGGTTTACTTCGTTGCAGGTTAGAATCCTACAGGAACAGTAAAGCTTAATTACAGCAAGGCATTTGGCAAAATCTTTCATAATATCCAGACAAAATGTCATATAGGCTTGATGATAATAGGTGGAACTAGTAGTTATTGAACTGCCATAATGTGTTTGTTAATGGATTGATGTTAATCTAGAGGGAGTCTAGTTGAGTTGTACACTTCAGAGTAATTTATTCTGTCGATTTAATATTTTTATCAATAATTTGAATGAAGACATAGTAGGTATGCCTACCAAATATAAAGATGATCAAAAAATCAGAAAGAATAGATAATATTAAATGCCTAAGTCAAGACTAACAAAATGAATTTAAAAGCCTTAAAAATATTCATTACACAAAAACAACATTAGGAAGACTCAGTATAACATCTTATGTATTAAAAAATTTGGAGAAGTCAACATTCCTGGCTCATATTAAGCACAAGTAACAGAAGTTGAAATTGTTAACAAAGTATTCAGTTAAAAAAATAATAGCACTTAGCTCAAACAAGATATACCCACCATACTCTGTCTGGTCAAGTATCATCTAAAATGCTGAGTACAGTTCTGGGTACCTGTGTAATGACAATGAGCAATTGGAGTTAAGACAGAAACAACCACGGTTGAAGGATCAGAGAGTAACATTATCTATGAAATTATTAAATAAACTGGGATTATTTACTCTGGAAAAGAGAATGCTCAGAGTACGTGGAGGGGAGAAGAGGTCAGCAGAGAGACCTGATAATAGTCTTCAAATATATGAAGGGGCCATTCATGTGAGAAAGGGATTATACTTGGAAAAAGCAAAATATAGAAGGAACAGCATAGGCTTTGATGTATAGAGACCTGGATTCGAATCCTGATGCTATCATTTACTGTGTGTTATTGGATGCTTAGAGAGAGATTAAGCTTCCTTACCTAGAAAATGATTATGCAACTCATAAATGCATAGAAATTAAATGCAAAAATATTTGTGAGCTGCCTGGGACAGCCTGACGTACTGTGATGCACAATAATGTCAGTTCCTGAACGGACACTTTTCTGAGTTATTCTAGAACAGTGTTTTTCAAACAGAGATACAACCCATTAACGGGTCACAAAATCAGCTTAGTTGGTAGGTGGTAACCAGCATTTTTTTCTAATGAAATAGAACAGAATAGAAAATATTAGAGCATTAGAGTTTTACTTGTAGTAAAAGTAACCATAGTTTTATGAAAACTTTGTTTCATTTATTCATATGCATGTGTGTACTAGGTCATGATGTAAAATGTACTTCTTATCATGAAGCTGGGTCCAAAAAAAAAAAGTGAGTGTTCTACAAGATATTAGTTCCTTGGGAGCTCAAATCTAAGAAACAAACCATACCCCTTAGAGATTTACTATGTTCAGTTCACATGAGCATCTCAAAGAAGTCAGCATTAAAGAAACCTGTTTATTTTTGTTGAACCCAGTTTTTCCCACATTTATTTGACCCCAGAACCCACTATTATTCTTCCACCTTTTGACATCTTTAGGACTAACAGTTTGTGATATGCACACTTGGGGGAAAACATTCCTCTAGATGAAAATGAAAATACAACAGGTAGAAGTTACAGGAGGTAGATTTTTAGCTTGCTAAGAAATAACTCTTGATATGAATCTTCCTGCCACTGACATCCACCTCTTCAATTTATACCCAAAAGCATTTCAATATGATTTATCCAACTTTCGATTCACACAAATCTTTTCTGAAAAAGTGTAGGATATCTATAATATCAATATATGAAGCCAGGATCAAAGCAGTAAGCAGAACTCATCTGGTCAAAACGAACTCCTGGCATAATATCTAAGACTTGCTTTACCTTAACAAAGCCTATGCTCAGAAACCAAAGCGGCCAAAGACTTAATCGGCTTCTCCAAGTGGAGTCGATGTGTTCTAATAATACATACTCTAAAATGGGCTTATGAGTGCAGCTAATCCTCATTATTACCAGCATCATTATCATCATTATTTGGAAGAGGCATGTGACAATATTTAGATGATTCTGGGTTCTTTTAAAGTGCACACATACCGAGGATTCCTTTGGGAGGACGTGATTTCACACATACGTGAAAAGCTGTCACTACCAGAGTCAGTTCTAATAATATTTGGTATCATTCAGCAATAAAATAAAGGCTTGACATCATACATTTAAGAGTACTTCTGCCATTCAAATATTCCTAACTGGTTATTACAAATACCTCTGACTGTGCTCTTGTAGTTGTTAGAGCATAAAATGTCCTTCCCACTCTTTCCCTACCCCCGGCCTCCAAAACCACCTCCTCCTTAAAGTTTGTCCCAACTACTTTGGGCTATTATTTTCTTCTCAGTTTTTGACCACTGTCAGTACTTTTTGTTCTATCACTCTTTTGGCACTACACTGTATACATCCTAGTTTATTTAACTGCATAAAAGCTCTCAAAAAGACTGCAATTGCCTTATGAACACGGATTAACACTTAAGAATCTTTAGAATCTCCCACCACATCATGTTAGAACTCACTAAATGTTTCTTGATTTAAATAACCAGGCTTAATAGTAATAGCAGCTAGTTTTAGAGAGTTTACTATATGTCAGACCCAGTGCTAAGTGCATATATGGATGATCCCAATCTTCGCAACTCTATAAAGGTACGAACTGTTATTTTTTCCATCAAATAGAGGAAGAAAGTTTAGCTCAGGGTAACTTGCCCAAGGTCATATAGCTTGTAAGTGGCAAAGCCAGGGCCAGAATCCAGGCAAAACACTTAACTACTTCAGAACATTGCAAAGTTTCAGCCTTGCAATACCACAGTCTACGAAGGATTTCGATTTCACTACATTAGAAGACTCAATTGCAACAAAGTAGAGACAGATTAACTAAAAGTTAAAACTTTAAAAAGGATGAATTAAGAGAATTTCCCAGGGACATCTTCATTAGGTAGCTATGAAATCAAGAGAAAAGCCTCCTGTGTCCTTCCTGTTTATGAAAGTGATATTAAGGTGTGGGTCACAATTTCTTCAAGAAGTGGCTTATCACAATACAGTTTTGGCTTAGATTTTTACATAAGGCTCTTTTTCTCTGCCCCTAGGATGACGCGAAGATGAAAGATGGAAGTGATAACTGTCACTTCACAGCTCCGAAAAATGCCAGACCCAATTCCTGTTTAAAAAATAAGAACCGGAGCTGTTGTACCACCCTTGACTCTTCACACAAAGCAGCACCGTCCTCTGCCCTCTTCGCACAAAGCCAGCTTTACCCCACTACCAAAAGGGGAGTGCTGATTCACACGGGCTCCCCATCCCCGCCGGAAATGTACCCATCTCACGTCGGTCCGAAACACTGACCGCTGCACAGACGCAGACGACTCTGGTCTGCCCCCGGCACCCGGCGATATCTCATCAAGCAGACCCCTCCCGACACCCAAATGCCCAGGCCACCATCCGAACGCTGGTACTGCACACAAAGCAGGATCCCTCCCTACAAGGCAGTTTCCCACCTCCGACGACCCCCGTGGCGAGCAGCCCTTCTCAAGCGGTGCCAACCCACAGACCCCCAGAGGGTCCACCACCCAGAGGAGAACGGGCTACATGCCCTTTTCCTGGCGCACGCCTCTAACCCCCAACTGCAGCTGACCTTCCCGCAGCCCAAGCGAGAAAACCCGAGTTTCCGCCAGAGAGCGGACCTGGCCGCACAAAGCGAGGCGTCCTGCCACGGGGACCCTCCGAAGACGCTCTCCGCCCCCGGCGCGTCCCCGCCCAGCCCCGGCCCGGCACCCCGCGCTCACCAGCTCTCCTCCTCCTCCTCCCAGCCTGACAGGCGCTCCAGCTCGTCAGGCCGCAGCGGCTCCACCTCGTCCAGCAAGCCGCCCTCGCCCGCCGCCAGCAGGGAGGTGGCGTCCCGCAGCTCCTCGCTACTCGTCCGCCTCGGGCCCGCCCCGGCCCCGCAGCCCGACTTGGCGCTGAGGCCCAAGGGGAAGCCCCGCGGGGACGCCGTGCCGGAGGAGGGAGTGGACGCGCCGGCCCGAACCGGGCTGCCGGGCCCGAGGGAGCCTGCGCCCTGCACGGCCCCCGAGCGGCTCCTCAGCTGTTCGTTCTGCTTCTCCAGCTTCTTCACCAGCTCCTGCAGCTTCCGCACCTCCTGGTCCGCGTTCACGTTAGAGTTAACGTCCTCCATCCCGGCCTCCCGCTCGCACTCTCAGCTACAAGGAAAGAGCCCGAGGAAAGAGGCGTCACCGCCGCTGCCGCTCACTCTAGCCGAGGCGCCGGCATCCAGCAGGGCCAGGCCCCACCGCCAGGGTCCCCCCAGCTCGGCTTCCAAAGCGCCGCTGGCCCCAGCCGAGCCGCCTCATCTGCGCCGGCTCCGGGATTGGGGGAGGCGGCGCCAATATCCGGCCCCTGCCGCCATCTTCCCTCCGTCCCTCCGCCCCCCGCAGGCCGCCCCCGTCGGTGACCTCAGAGCGTCGGGGGTGGACGCGGCCGCCGGCGAGCGAGGAGAAGATCGGACGCCGCGCTCGTGGCGGGGCGGGACCGTGTGCGGGGCCGCGCCGCGTGCGCGAGGGGTGGGGCCTCGGCCGGAAGGGGCGTGTCAGGAGCGCCAGCGGAGGCGGGACTCGGCCTGGGCGGCTCGGGAGCGCGGCTGGGGTCGCGGGCGGACCCGCAGCTGGCAAGCAGGCTCGCTGCGGGTGGGGCTGGGACTGCGGACCGACTCTCGCCCAGCCCCGCCGATTGGTCTTGGGTCAAGGGCGTGTAGTGTGTTCTCCACCTCAGAACACCGCGCGTGGGACCCGTTCCTCCCCCAACTCCAGCCGGTTCTCGGGCGAGCGCTCAGCCGGGCCCGTGGAGACACAGTTTACTCTGTTCGGCGAATATTCACTCGATGCACGCTCGAAATGGGAGATCGTCGGGGCTGGCGGAGGCCTCAGAGACCATCTGCTGCCTTTTTATTCCTCTGAAAACGAGAAACCTGAAGTTCAGACAGTTAAGAGAGATCTGAGGTCAAAATAATAATCATAATTGTTGAGTGTTTACTATGGGGCCAGACACTGTGCTAAGCACTTAAAAATAGAAAAATCAGCCGGGCGTGGTGGCGCATGCCTGTAGTCCCAGCTGCTCCAGAGGCTGAGGCAGGAGGATCGCTTGAGCCCAGGAGTTTGAGGTTGCTGTGAGCTATGATGACGCCACTGCACTCTAGCTGGGGCAACGGAGCGAGACCCTCCCTCAAAAAAACCCCAAGAACAAAAACAAAACCTGGTATAAAACCTAGTGTTCCTGACTTAATGTTTACAGCACACTGGCACAGAAGCGGAGGATAGAAAACTGCTCCTCTCCTGCCTTTCTCCGTTAACGCATACTCTGCTCTTCGGATCATTTGCTTCAGAAAAACTTTCTCAGAGTATGTCTTGACTTTTTAAAAACTTGTGCATTAAGAGTACTTAGACACTTTGACAGAGATTGAAGAATCTGCCTTTATAACGTGTACGGGTGGCAGCAAAACCAAACAAAATTTAAAATGCTTTGTTTTGAACACATTCATTGCTCTTCAGAAGTCGATTGTGAACTACTTAGCTTGTGTCTGCAGCTTTCTTTCCTTCAACTGCCTCCTCCACCCTTAGCTTACACTGATCCAGTCCTGCTACACCTGGGTGTGGACTCGTATGACAGGATTGACTTGCTTCTGCCCTTTAACTTTATGGTTCTGTGTTTTCCTTGCCTATAATGTCCTTCCTGCCAAATCCGATTCCTTTTCTTAAAACCCGTACACAGCCATCCAGGAAACCTCTTCCTGACAATTCCACAAAGATCTAGTTATTCTGCTTTCTTTAGCATTACCTGATCAATAGTTTGCACTTTTTTTAAAATTGCATTTTTGTTCTGAGAATTCTTTTTTGTTTCTTTTTGTCTGTTTACTTGATTAAAAAGAAGCATTCATTTTTGCTTACCATGTCTAGTATGGTGTCTGACACAGTGGACATTTAATACGTGGTTTGTTGAAAGTTAATTATTGACAGAATCTAAGTTCTGATAGGCCAAGGACCAGACAGAGTTTTATTCATAGCAAAAACCACATTGAGTATGTTAAAAGTTAGCTGGCTAACTGTATTTTCCTAGCTATGCAGACCTAGTCAAAGGATGCCTTTTGCTAACATACAATAATTGTTTAGTAATATATGTATTCTTTATATAATGCATTTCTAAATATCATTGCTGTTTCTGACATGACTGAACTTGTTACGAGAGGGTTAAACTCATGACTACTTCACATATAGCAGTTTTTACTTGCATTTATTGGTTTGTGAAATAGATTCCATCTAGCCAGTTTTGTAAGGAGAACCCCTCAAATATATTCGCTTGAAAGAATAATTCACTTGATGCTATGAAATTAACAGTAATGTTCCATGGGGCAAGGAGAACTTGGTGTAAAGTGGGACAATGAACTGAGACTCAGAAGGCCTGATGGCAGGTTCTGGCTGTACCATGAGTGGGGTGCTTGACCTTAATCTCTGGTCCTTAACTTTCTTCAGAATGTCTGAATTGAATGATCTCCAACATCTCATCCAGTATCAAAAAGCAAATGATTCTGATGAATTCTATGGTTGCAAAACATAAATGTAAATATACTTAGACATACATATAAGTTCATAGTAGATATACTTGCATTTTTGTTACCCAATTCCTTTACTTTGTATCTTAATATTTTTCACTCAATAAATATTATCTACTATGTGGCAGGTACCGTCAGGCACTTGGATGTTTAATAGGTTTCTTGTCCAAAACTACTCTGGATTCATACAAACACATACACACTACACACACATACACACACCCTTAAATATGCTTGTTTTGTAGTCTTCACCATTTCAATAAATGGCAGCTTTTTTATTCCAGATGCTCAGGCCAAAAAATTTTAAGATAATCCTCACTTCCTTTTGCCCCCAAAACTCAGTCTTTGAGCAGGATATCCTGGCTCTACATTCAAAATATGTCTGATTACGTCCCAGCACTGCTGCCACTCTAGTTCAGGTTGCCATCTTCTCTCGTCTAGGTTACTGCGGTGCTCTCTTAGTGAGCGATTCCACTTTGTTGCCTAAAGTCTGTGGTGTACACAGCAACCAGATGATCCTTTGTGTAACTCACATCAGGTTACTCCCCTGCTTGGAATCCTCCAATGTACTTCGAAGTTTTTTCCTTGGCCTATACGCCACGGGACCCTTGGCAACTTCTGCAAGTATCTCGTTAACTACCACTCTTCCCCTCCCTCACTCTAGGCCAGCCACACGGGCCTTTTCGATGTTTTTTAAACAAGCCAAGCATGTGTCTACCTTAGGAACTTCGCATTGCTGTTCCCTTCTATCTAGTATCTATTCTTCCTCCATGTTGCCACCTGAGTCCCTCAGGGTTTTGCTCAAATATTGGCTAAGTTCACTGTCCTCATTATGACTGTCCTCCATAAAATCGTATCCCTGTCATTCCTCATCCTCTTACCTGTTTCATTTTTCTTCAGACACATCTTTCTTTCTTGCTTTCTTTGTTTATTTCCTGTCTCTCCCTAGTAGGATGTGAACTGCATGAGAACAGGGTTATATGCCTGGTGCCTAGAGCATGGTAGATGCTCAATAAATAAATGTTTGTTGAGTAAATGAATGAATGGATTTAGGTCAAGTGAAGCCTCCTAACATATTTATCCTTCTGAAGGATAAATATGTTATGTCCCAAATCATTAGAGTGGAAATTCCTAATTATTTTGAATGGTTGATTTTTTTTAAATTATATTTTCCTCTTCTGAAAGAGCAACATGTCATACTATATATGTCATCCTCAAAACTAGGTCATTCTCCACCTCCTGAGTGCCAATAGCCCTTAAGAATTGCTGAGGACAGAGTCTTAGGTTCTCACTGAGAATCACGAGGACAAGAATATTTCCTTGGTATCCTAAACGTTGCCAGGATCTTCCTCTTTCAGGTTAACTACAATACTCTGTCTTCTCTGGTGACTCAGAAATGTTAGGGCTTGTTTTTTAAAAAGTCACTCTAAAAGTGACTCCCTTGTGTAGATACAAGGAGTAGAGCTAGTAGGTGTCTGAAGTATGCATCACAATTATCCCAGCTACTTTTCCAGGCATTGTCTTTTATGATACGCTTGCTTTGTTGCTGGATGAAGGAGTTGCTTCTTTTCTAAGCAGGTGTGGCCCTTTTATAACTTGCTGCTACTTGCATGTTACCTCTTGGTGAAACTCCTGACAAAGTGGAAAATATTACAAACCACTAAAAGTATTTAGAGTGAAAACCTATTACTCAATGGCTTAAAGGTGTTTAGCAGTCCTAAAATCCTAAATAAAGGAAGGGTGAATGAATGAGTACATGCCCAAAAGTAGTTTAGAAATTGCTGGGCACTTAATGAAATATTTGCATTTGCTTAAAAAAATGCTCAAATTCTTTGACAAAACCTTTACTATCCAACACATCCATTTTATGTTCATGGGACACACTTAGCGCCAGTCATTTTCTACTTGTCCTTTCTCATCTATTCCTCACCAGCATCCCTCCTCCAGATGTACATCCCTCTGGTCTATCAAGGGGCCTCGTCTTCACTGTCTTGCACAATGCAATTTTTGGAAGGAATCCAAGGGACCTTAAAGGTTAGGTATATAAGACATTCTGAATTGAAATTGTGGGGACAGAAAGAAGGGGGCCCAGGATTTGGACCTAGAATTTTTCCAGCCAGCATTGATCAGAACTTACAATTATGGGATGCCTCATAAGTAGCCATAATGGCAGACATCACTTCCTTAAGGAGGTCCTCTGGCCAATGTGTGGTCCCCTACCACATTGTTAGGGGCATGTATTATTTTGGGGTCAGGAAGTCCATGATCAGAGCAGAGGTGAACAGGTTCTTGAATTCTTAGGAGGCTGCTATCTTAGTCCAAAATGAAACAATACCTTATCTCCCATCCTTTTTCTGGTAGTAGATGGGAAGATAGGATTGTTAAATAAAATTTATTATTTCCTGTTTTCTTTAAGTAGTGTATCAGCAGGGCAGTGAAGTTGGAAACATGGAGTGTGAACCATTTCTGAATGTCCTTGATGTTCTAGAGTAACTATTATTCAAAGATGGGAGAGGCCTGGTGTGGTAGCTCATGCCTGTAATCCTAGTGCTCTGGGAGGCCGAGGCAGGAGGCTTGCTTGAGCTCAGGAGTTTGAGACCAGCCTAAGCAAGAGGGAGACTCCATCTTTACTAAAGGTAGAAAAATTAGCCAGGTGTGGTGGCACATGCCTATAGCTCCAGCTAATTGGGAGGCTGAGGCAGGAGGATCTCTTGAGCCCAGAAGTTTGAGGTTGCCGTGAGCTAGGCTGATGCCACGGCACTGGCCTGGGCAACATAGTGAGACTCTGTCTCAAAAAAAAAAAAAAATTTTTTTTTTCCTCAAGATTAAGGCAATCTTGGTAAAAGAAAAAACAAACAAACAAACAGAAAACGCCACAAAGATGGGAGAAA